CGGCGAGGTTCGGAGGTGGGTCGTAAGGAGAACCGAGGCCCGTTGTGCGCCCGGCAGCTCCCCCAGTACCTGTTCCTGGGCCTTCTCCGGGGCAGGCCTCGCCGAAAGACTGAGGGGGTGGGCCCACCTGGCCCTGCTGAGAGTGATGAGGGAGTGAAATGGGCCCCGCGGTGGGAGCGGGGACAGAGGTAGGCCAAGGGGCTCCGGGCTCGAGGGAGCGTGAGGCCTCGTGTGTGTGGGGTCGCAGGACCGTGTGTAGCTGGGCAGGCTGCCCCCTCTGCCCCTCCAGCAGGTGAGGGGCAGTGAGAGCCGTGTCACACTAACACACCCATCTGCAGCAGATCGACAGCAGCTTCCCAGTCCAAATCCCAGGCCTCTGTAATTCCTCCTTATTTCTTTTAATTGATATGCTTCTGCCTGTTAAAAACAAAAAAATTATTCTTCTGACCATAGATCTTTGGTTCCGAGTTCTGTGGTTTTCTTTTGGAAAAGAGCAAATGGCTTCCTTTGTCTCTGAATAACCTTAGAAGATTTTGCACCAGAGCTAATTATGGGCTGTCTTAATGACAGGACGAGAAGCCGTTTATCCCATTCGAGTAAAATGGGTTCGAAACAGATTGCGCAGGAAACGTTTGATGATGCCGTGCAAGAAAACATTACAGAATTTGAAATGGATCCCGAAGAAGCTGTGAGAGAAGCTGTGCAGCAGTTTGAGTCCCAAGGTACTGTAAAGTCATCCACTTCTGTAGTTCAGATTATTGCAGACCGAGTTTTTACATATCTCGGAACCTAAGAGAACCTGCATGTGAAGACTGATCGGCCAGTGTTGAAAAGAAGCCTCTGTGAGGTGTGGCACAGCCACTGTTAACGCTAACCTGGTGTCTTGGGGTGACTCTGGCTGAAAACTGTTTCAGGCGAACCCGCAGGGTGTGGTTTGGTGACTGAGACTGAACTCCTCGGTTTCCCCCAGCTGATGTTTGGCTGGCACCGATGCTGTGTTCCAGGGGATCTTTGACCGCTGCAGTTAGCCAGAACTCTGACAGCCTTGCAGCATCGTTGTGCGCTGATCCGCGCTTTCTGACAAGCCTGTCTTTGTTCACTGTGGTTAACTTGACAAATTTTACCGAAGCTGCCGTAACTAATATTAATCTTGGTGCTGTTTTTCTTTTTAGGTGTTGACCTAAGCAATATTGTGAAAGCTGTTCGGCAGCCTGCCTCTGAAAATGGTCAAAAGCATGAAATTTTGCTGGTAGGAGCACAAATTTATGTTGTCTTCTAAGGACCAGGATTATGTAACAGTTTAAGTAATAGACTAAGAACAGTGAGGCGCATCTTCTGCCTCTCTTCCGTTTCCTTGGGCTCTCCTTGACAAGCAGTTAATCCCATCTATCCTGCAAACTAGGAATGATGTAAAAGTTGAGAGGGTTTGCTTGCACTTTTCGGTGGGAGTGTTCGTGAGGCAGGAAGTCGTGGCGTTCTGCGCGAGGGAACGCAGAGACTGCTGTTGGTGACGGAGGAGCAGGTTGTGCTGGTGTCAGGTAAACTCAGTGTGGTGGCTGTTATCTGGCCCATCTGAGGGTAGATGAAACGGCTGACTACAGTCCCTCACCAGCGAGAATATAACAACGCTTGGGCGCACTGCTGACACGTACCTGGTGACGTGTGCTAGCTGGACCCAGCTCACCTTCCCCATGGTGACAGCGTGACATGGGCGGCAGAGGTAGAGAGATGCCGAGGGCCCTGCGTGTGAAGACAAAATGCTGCTCTTTGGGGCAGCCGTTTCTCAGGCCATGCTGATTTCAGATTTACAAGAAGGCTGTTGTTATAAAGGAACAAATTTTACTATAAAGAACTGTTCAGGTTCCTTCATAGTTCAAAAAGCGACTCTTGTTCTCTTCTTTAGACTTTAGATTCCCTGGGGAGAGCCGTGGCTGACGCTGATCTGGCCGAGATGGACAACCAGCTCGTGGTCTTCACTGAGCAGTGCAAAGAACAGCTGGCGTTCCGCGCCCTGGCTGGGCAACGTGGTGCCTACTCCGTGGTGTTCTCTGCCTGCCAGTTGGCTTCAGGAGACAGGAATTTAATGCTGCAAGCCTTTTATACTCTGTCTGCCATCCTGGATGGGCAGCCAGACCTACTTGATGCCGCTGGCCAGGATCTCTTGCTGCAGACTCTGAGAGAGTATAGGGAGGATGCGGAAATGACACTGGCCGGGATCCGATGCGTTCGGCATGCCTGCCTGAAACACGAGCAGAATCGTCAGGACTTTGTGAAAGGTGGGGTTCTCCCCGTTCTGACTGGAGCTATTGTCCAGCACGGAGGCAACGCCGATGTCGTCCGAACGGCCTCCTCAGCGCTCAGGATCATGACGTTCGATGATGACATCCGCGTGCCCTTTGGGCATGCTCACGATCATGCCAAAATGATTGTGTTGGAAAACGATGGGTTAAGAGTCCTCATTGAAGCTGCAAAAGGTAAAATTAACCCCTGACTGTTGATCCCAATGTTGAATCATGTGTGCTTTGTTGTAGCTGGGAAGCTCCCCAGAGGTGAGTCAGAAATTTGCCGCTAAAATGACGTTTAATTCTCGTGGTGAGCTGTGCATGGAGAGGAACACCGGTGTGCCTGCTCCCCCGTGTGCCCGGAGAGAAACACCGGTGTGCCCGTTCCCCTGCGGTGGCGGTTATCCGAGCTACTTGTCGGTCTGCCCAGGGAGTGGTTTACAGCCCAGCGCAGGTTTACAGGCACGTCATCCCTGCTGAGGTGCTGCGTTCCTGCCGAGGAGAGAGGTTCTGCCTGTGTCTAGATGCAGGGTGAACAGGATGTCATCTGTGCTGATGTGTTTTACTACACAACTCTTTCCTGGTTCTTTTTTTTGATGAAACAAAGTAAACGTCTTGACTCTGCAGCTCTCCTCCCTCCTAGTTACTCCACGCATTATCTCTCCTCTGCAGCATTCACAGATAACTCCAGTGTTCTCAGTGAACTCTGTGCCACCCTTTCTCGCCTCTCTGTCAGGAATGAATTCTGTCAAGAAATTGTGGACCTTGGTGGCCTAAACTTGATGGTGTCTCTCCTGGCTGACTGCATCAACCATCCGGTGAGTGATCGGAAGCGGACGTGGGAGCGGAGGTAGCGCAGCACGGCGTGCTTGTCACGTTAACGACCTGGCTGCGAGCGGGCCTCGGACTGTGCCATAATTCAGGTGCAATTAAGGTTGAAAGCCAACCGTTGGTGCTGATTTAGGGTCTGACATACAGAACTAGGTTACAGGTGGCTCTGTCAGGTAAGAATGCAGTAATTCTGAGCTCCTTGTTCACGTTGCTCCTCCACGCTCCACAAGCAGATCTCTGCTTGCTCCCAGAAAAACTGAACCTCTCTTTTCCCACAGTTCTAGCTAGAAGAGATTCAGGAGGATTTAGATGCCCGAGTCCCACAGGACCGGTGTTTGATTCTTAAGTTTCTTTGGAAACCTTTGCCAAACTAACGACATTCCTTATTATACTGTCAAGCGAGAAAGTGTGTCTGAGGTGTGAGTGCCTGGGAATAGCGTTGCTGTTCATGACTGAGGATGACAGCCGTGTGAATGGAGCTGCTGGGGGACATCCTGCTTGCCGTTCGGAAGTCTGTAAAACTCTTCCTGTAGCTTTCTGAGCTGTTCTCTTTCTGACGATCGCAGGACGTGGTGAAGCAGGTGCTGAGCGCCATCCGGGCGGTTGCGGGTAACGACGACGTGAAAGATGCCATCGTTAACGCTGGGGGAACGGATCTCATTGTGCTGGCTATAAGCCATCACCTTACCAACCCTCAGGTACGCGCTGAGAGGCCGATGAAGTCCCTCCAGGGCCGGGAATAGAGAGCAGGTTTGGGCTGCATTGCCTTGTCTTGTGTAGGGCAACGACCCACCGTCGCTCTGAGTTGTGATCAGCAGCTCATGCTGAGAGCAGATACGTGCTGCAACTGAGCACTGTATTAACCCTTCAGCACCCAGTTGCTGCACAGTGGTTAAGCGCATGCTCGTGGAAATGCGCGTCCACCTTAGTCTGTTAGGGTTTTGTCCTGTTCCAGAATTGGGGGACATTGGTTATGTTTATGCCTCTCGGGTGTAAGGCCAGGTTTCCATGCCAGGGAAGCAGGGTGTTTCAGTGGAAGAAACTCAAAAAAAACCCCCAAAAAATAATTTGAATAATTGTCATAAAAGGAAACAAACTCCAAACACTGGAGTTTTTTTTCTTCAAAGCAACGTGTCCAGGCAGCGAGCGTCTCCTCCCCTTTGCCTTGCAGATCTGTGAGCAGGGCTGTGCAGCCTTGTGCATGCTGGCATTGCGCAAACCGGAGAACTGCAGCGCCATCATGGAGGGTGGAGGGGCGTTGGCAGCCCTCGAGGCCATGAAAGCGCACCCCCGAGAAGTGGCCGTACAGGTATGTGCCTCTCAGCACTTGATTATGGGTTCGGGCTGGGTGTTGGCACTGTTCACTGCTTCCGTGGGGCTTTGTCCTTTCCTTGACAAATACCAGAAGGTCCTGCGTGTGCTTGGAGTGTGGCACCTGAACGCTGGACTCCCTGCATCTGTCACCCTGATGTGATCAGAGCAAAGTTTGGGTTTCAGATCCACCTGAACTCAGGTTTAAGCAACACGCTTCACACCCAGGCATTACTTCTCCTCAAAAGAGCAGGATGAGGATGGGCTCTTCCAGCCCCAGTCTGTGCTCTGATGTTACCTGTCTTGTAGGAGACGTTGCCATTTATTCTCCAGAGAGAGTAAGACACCTACATGGCAAGAAGTTCACCTCTGGTTTCTCATGCAAATCCCAGTAGGTTCTGTGTCCACTTTTGTGCACTCCAGACTATTCAGATACCACAGGAAATAATTTTCTGGAAGTGTAGTTTAAGCTAAGTGCCAGGAAGGTGTCTGGAACAGTGTACAGGCAGGTGGAAAGGTGGGTCTGCTGTAACTGCAGAATTCTGGCTTAGCATTGTTTTAAAGAAGTGCTTGGCATTGCCTGGCTCTGTCGTGGTCCAACAGAACCAGGAGGTTTGCTTGCATAAAATTCCATGTGAAATAGCAGCCACGTTTTTGTCCGTAGATTTTAGTCTTCCAGGAAATAGTTTGTTGCTGTCTCCAGCATCTCGTGTGGGGTTGCCCGGAAAAGATCCCTTAGTTCGAGCCAGATCTGCTTTGCGTGTGCTGGCATCCGGCGAGGCTGGTCTTTCCGTACGAAAGACACGAAGCTCTCGCTCACCTCTCTCCTCAGAAACAGGCGTGCATGCTGATCCGCAACCTGGTCTCCCGGAGCCGGGACTTTTCTCAGCCCATCTTAGAGATGGGAGCCGAGAACCTGATAACAGAAGCTCGTGCAGCACACAAGGACTGCGACGATGTGGCCAAAGCTGCGCTGAGAGATCTGGGCTGCAAAGTGGAGCTCCGAGAGCTGTGGACAGGTCAGAAGGGGAGCCTGGCTCAGTGAGCCAGCACTCCACCGAGCGCTGGAGCTTCGAGACATCTACGGATGTGATGGCGGGGGAAGGG